GGCCTCGCGTGGCTCCGGCTCCCGCTCCGGCTCTGGGCGCCTCCCGCCTCCGCAGCTGCTCCGGTGGCCCGGGTCCCGGAGCTGGGACTCCTGGGTCGGGCCGCCTGAGGTCACCTCTGGGCGCCTCCTGAGGCCCATTTCCCCTTTGAAACGAGGTGGCGCAAGGTCTGTAGCAAAAAGAGCGGGCCGAGGTCTAGAGTTCATTTCGGTGTTTATTTGGCGCCTACTGGGTGCGAACACTGTGCCAGGAGGGAAGCGTAGGTAGGCTGGTGAACAAGATGGCCAAAATCCCGTACCCTTATGGAGTTTGCATTCTAGTGGGGAGAGACACAAATACCAGTGAGGAAATTGCCATAGTTTAGAAGGTAAAGGTGTAGAAAAAATAAAGCACGTAGAGGAGGTGGTCTAGTAGAGCGGGAGCTGCAGTTTTCATTTTAAAATAGGGCTGGGTTTTTGATCGTTTTTGTTCACTCTGTTCACCGATGTTCATCAGCATGTGACACGTATTGGGCCAGCCGGTACCCGTGTTTTTTTTTTTGTTTGTTTGTTTTTTAAGAGACGGGGTCCCAGGCTGGTCTGGAACTCCTGGCCTCAAGCTGTCCTTCTGCCTCAGCCTCCCGAGTCCCTGGGATCACACACGTGAGCCGCTTGGTAAATATTTTTGAACCAATGAATCCTCAAAACACCTCATTCAGCAGGTGTTTTCTGAACACCTATTAAGTGCTAGGCTGAGGGACTCCAGGAAAATAACCTTCATGGAATTTTATATTTTACCTGGGCAGGAGGAGAGGGACAAATAAGTTCACACCTTTCTGACTTGGTTACATTTGAGCTGAGACCTTAGCCAAAAATGCAGAGCTAGGGATTGGCTTTCCAGTGGGGAAGGGGACACTGTTGGCACATTAGAAGGCCGATTTGGGCACCCGGTGGCTCACCTGTAATCCCAGTGCTTTGGGAAGCGGAGGTGAGAGGATTGCCAGAGCCCAGGTGTTGGCCACCAGCCTGGGCAACTTGGTGAGACCTCATCTCTACAATAAATTAAATAATTAGCCGGGCATGGTGGCGCGTGTCTGTAATTCCAGCTACAGCCTAGGCAATAGGGAGACTCCAATTAAAAAAAAAAATAAGGCCTCTTTGGCTTTCAAGAGTGGGCGGCAGAGGTGAGGTGGAGGGAGCACCGTGCTGGAAACTCTCCCCTAGAACATCAGCTCCACAGCTCTACCCCCAGCATCCGGAATATTTCTTGGCACATACTCTGCGCTCAGTACATACCTGTTGAGTGAATAAATGCGAGAGAGAGGCATGAGTGACAGAAATCATCCCGTAGTCATTCACAAGCTTCTGGAATTCCAGGTCAAGGATGTGAAATGTAACTCTTGTAACCACGAGAGGGCGCGCCTCCACCCAGCCACATTATGGGGAAAAAACTGCAGGTCCCCTCCTCACAGAAAAGTCTTTGGGATTCCTCCAGAGGCCCTTCTCAGTGTTGTTGTTTGTTTGTTGAATGAACATGGGGTAGTTGGAATTTGAAATCTCACCCCACTGGACTTGTTTCTCTGGTGGGCTCTGTACTTGTGACTCTTTTCACTTATCCTCTGTGTCTCAGATGTCACCTTCGAAAAGAAATCTTGGCTCTGAATGTGAAACAGCCTGGTGTCGCGATCTTGCACCTCACCCTGATTCCCTTTATAGCTCTGACCACTACAGTACCTGAACTCATCTAGCTTATTTACATGTTGACCTGTTCGTCTGTTTAAATCCTTTCACCATCACCCAGGGTTTCCCACAGAGTCTGGCATGCCAAGAAACCCCCACCCAAACTCAGAACATACACATGATGTTAGGAGGCGGATGAGATTGAGGTCTGGTGGGGAGAGAGGCTGGAATCTGGGAGGAGAGATTTGCTGATTGAGGAGGAACAAAAGGATCTCAGAGTGGTGACTCAGAAGGGGGCTGTGGGCTGGGGTTTCTTTTCTCCAGCTCCCGACATCATGCCCCTCCCCCTCTCCTAATTCTCTGGTGTTGGAATCTCCCCATCTGTACAGATCTTAAATAATCAAAAAATATCCAGACCTGGTGTAGAGGGGAGCATGTCTGGACAATCCCTGCTTCCTGCTCAAGGATTCTAGAGGGCTGAAGGGCCCATGGTTAGTAACTTTTCCTCACCCTTCTTTTAAAAAATCTTTATTTATTTATTTAGTTGGAGTCTCACTCCGTTACCCAGGCTGGAGTGCAGTAGCACGTTCACAGCCACCCCAGCTTCCACCAAGTAGCAGGAACCACAACGCGTGCTACTGAGCCCAGCTAGTTTTTAATTTATTGTAGAGAAGAGGTCTCCCAAATTGCCCAGGCTGATCTCGAACCCGTGGGCTCAGGCAATCCACTTGCCTCCGCCTCCCAGAGTACTGTGTTACAGGCTGAGCCACTGAGCCCGGACTTTTTTTTTTTTTTTTCGAGACAGGGGTCTCACTATGTTGCCCAACAAGGGATCCTCCTACCTCAGCCTCCTGAGTTGTTGGGACTACAGGTGTCCACCACTGTGCCTGGCCTTTCCCAGCCTTGTTAAAGCCAGCTGGGACCATAAACACCAAATCCATAGCTAGCAGATGGAGCAACTGAGGGCCCAGAGAGAAAGCTACTTGCCAAGAGACAAAACAAACCAGCAGAGAACCAGCCTTTTTGGGTTTATTTCTGAAAAAGCCAAATAGAATTTTGTTTCAGTGAATTCTGCACGAGGGTAAGAGATCTTACTGAAAGGATAGTGGCAGCCAAGCCTATAGTGGCCATTGCTGACCAAAGATGTCAACTCCAGAGCAGAGACCAAAGGTGGCCCGGAAGGTAGCAAGCTTCCCATCACGTGGGATGAAACAATAGTTAACTACGTAGTACTTACTAGTGACCGGTACCATCCTGCATGCTCTGTTATATTTGATATATAAAATTATGTGTTCATTATATTATACAAAATATATTACATTATTTTATGGCATATTATTTTAGTGTAGTAAATATATTAAACTCAGGAGTTCCTTAAAACAACCTCATGTTGTTAATATTTCATTTTACAGACTGGGTGTGGTGGCTTACACCTGTGATCCCAGCACTTTGGGAGGCCAAGGTGGGCAGATTGCTTGAGCCCAGGAGTTGGAGACCATTCTGGCAATGTAGCAAAGCCTCATCTCTACAAAAAAAAAATCAAAATTAGCCGGGCATGGTGTCTGAGGTGGAAGGATTGTCCGAGGCCCAGAGGTTCAAGCTGCCATGAGCCACGCTTGTCACCCTCATGCCACTGCACTCCAGCTTGGGCAAAAGACAAAAATAAATAAATAAAAAGCACATTTTACAGACGTGAAAAATGAGGCACAGAGTAAGTAGTAGAACAGGATTTTTTTTTTTTTTTTGAAGGAAGTGGCACGCTTCCAGCCACTATAGTCTTGACCTGCTGGGCTCAGGCAATCCTTCTGCCTCAGCCTTCCAAGTAGCCAGAACTACAGTCACGCACTACCATGCCCAGCTAATTTTTTGATTTATTGTAGAGACGAGGTCCCACCATGTTGCCCAGGCTGGTCTTGAACCCACGGGCTCAGGCAATCCTCTCGCTTCGGCCTTTCAAAGTGCTGGGATTATAGACTTGAGCCACTGCGCCCAGCCATGGATTTTTTTTTTGTTTAAGTCGAGGTCTCACTCTGTCACCTAGGCTGGAGTGCAGTGGCAGGACCACAATTCAATGCAGCCTTGAGCTCCTGGGCTCCAGCAATCTTCCTACTTAGCCTCCACACGCCACCATGCCTGGCTAATTTTTTTTTTTTTGAGTTGGAGTCTCACGCTGTCACCCAGGCTGGAGTGCAGTGGCACGTTCCCGGCCAGGACAGCCTCAACCTGCTGGGCTCAGGTGATCCTTCCGCCTTAGCCTTCCAAGTAACTGGAACGACAGGTGTGTGTTACTGTGCCCAGCTAATTATTTTGATTTATTGTAGACATGAGGTCTCACCATGTTGCCCAGGCTGGTCTAGAACCTGTGGGCTCAGGCAGTCCCTCGCCTTGGCCTCCCACAGTGCTGAGATTATAGACTTGAGCCACCAAGCCCAGCCTTGTTTTTTTTGAGAAAGGGTTTATGTTGACTAGGCTGGTCTCTAACTCCTGGGTTCAGGTGATCTCCCGCCTCGGCCTCTTGAGTGACTAGGATTACAGGCATGTGCCACCACACCCAGCTGGAACGTTTTTTTGTTTTTAATTTATTTTTTATTTTATTTATTTGTTTATTTTTGAGTTGGAGTCTCACTCTGTCGCCCAGGCTGGGGTGCAGTGGGACACTCATGG